TTAATTAAAAATTTAAAAAGATCTTTCTACCATACTAAAATCTTAGTACCATCTTTCTGTGTAAATATCTCATATTACAACGTGGACACCTGCGGCTTATAGATAAGTGCGGCCTATATATGTACAATTTTTTTATTTTTTTTTTATTTAGTTTAGCGCGGCTTATATTCAGGTGCCCTCAATAGTCCGGAAATTACGGTATACCAGTGCCTTAACTGTGCCACAATACGGCAGGCATAAAGAACGGTCCGATTTCTCTGGTGTAGTAGCTACACTTTACAGCTAATGTGGGAATGTTGGTTTTGACAACTTGTGACACTTTTGTGACATAAGCAGGAACCATTCCTGCAAGGCAATTTCAAAACAAAGCGCCTTAAAACATTAGTTACAGTTGTCTGTCTGAACTTTAAAACTGGGCCTACGTAGGACTAATGAAATCAGGCTTGACCCCCCCTCCACTCATCAACTGTGCCTACCCTGCTCATTTATGCATGCTTAAACGTGTGTGCCTGCAGTGTGGAGTTCGTCCCTCGCTACATTAAGACGTCTGGCAACGCTACCGTGGATCACCTGTCTAAATACCTGGCCGTCAGACTGGCTCTGGAGGAGCTGAGGAGAAACGCAGAGGCCAGTCCTGTTAATGTGGAGGCAGCTTCAGAGAAACAGTACACCATTTACATACCTACTGCTGGAAACCAGTTCACTGTGAGTACTCACACACTGATTATTTTTATATATACATATACATATATAATGCGTGCTTGACTCATAGAAAACTCTGCTGGGTATCAAATGAAGTCCTTTCTTAACTAACAGCCAGCCACCTCTGGCAGCAAAGATTTGATTGTAATCGTGGAGGAAACTAGTTTGGAAGATGAAAATGTAATATTCAGCAGCTGGAAATATTCCATTACTTTGATTTTAATGAACAAAACTGGATTTGAATCGTTGTAAGTCTGAATTTTGGGGAGAAAGCGCTCAAAGGGTAATAAATAACAATTTACCCCAGCACTGTTAATAATAATAATAATAATAATAATAATAATAATAATAATTAGAATTATAATAACTTTATTTATAGCAGTTAAGCAGTTTCAGTGAGCATAGACAAAGCAAAAACAGGATATTCAGAAGGTTATATAACAGAGCAAGAAAAAATAGATAGAGGGAAGACAATGATGAAGATAAGGACAGTGAAGGCAATATCCATTAACATGTTGATATAAATAAATACTAAAATAAAAGAGAATGAAAGCAATGAAATAAGTAAACAACTGAGAAATTGTAGGTTGCAGCAGAAGATATTCTCTAGTTTGTCTTGCATCTGCTCTGCATTAGATTGAGCTCAGCTAATCCTGACGAATGACAGAGGTGGGTTATAGAGTGAGGGGTGCAGAGCAGGAAATGGATGTTTGACCTCTTAAACTCTTTTCACAGGTCCTAAACGGGTCCTTCTCCCTGGAACTGGTCAGTGAAAAGTACTGGAAGGTGAACAAACCCATGGAGCTCTACTTTGCTCCCACTAAAGAACACAAGTAGTCGCACACAAAAACACACGCACACACATACACACTCACCAGTAGGAAGTAAACACATGGACTTGACTAAACCTGCGCACACACAAACACGATGAGAGGAGTGTGTGTGTCTGAAGGAGGTTGACGGGTTGGTGAAACCCTCTAAAGGACTCTTGTAAAAAGAAAAAAACCTTGTTTTATATTCTCTGTATCTTTGTGTCTCTTTCTATCTTTCTTTCTGTAGAAAGTAGCAGATCAGTACAGCAGCTAAATCAAACAGATAATGGACTGCTACAGTAACAGTGGGTGTAGACTCTCCAACTCTGAAAACCAGGGTCCATTCACAGTCTCAACTAGCAATGTCCAAGTAAAACCATTGTATTATACTATATTTGTCTTCAGCAAAGGCCCCTGTACGCTGTGATTGTGGTCTGTGCCAGATCAAAGTTGGAGTTCTGGAGACTCCCTGTCTACAATATAGGACCATATTGTCAAAATGGGACTGCTCGGCAGATACACTGGCCGACGACAGCAATTTAAATCCCTATTGACATGTACACATACACAAACATGGGCATGTGCTTGTCAACTCTATATAAGATAAATCTGATGCATATGGAAGCAAAGAAAGGCCATACTTATCTGAAATTGAATCTCTGCTGAATACTTGGTGTTGCACATTGAAAAATTTCACTTTTAGAATCGATCTGGATTTATGTGGTTTGATTCCCCTCTTTGAAAATTCAGATAATTTCAAGTTTTGCAATTTTAAAACCTTTTTTTTTTTTTCTCAACAAATTCAGAGTCTGGGGTTTCTAGTCTAATCTGAATTTGTCTTTCTTGGATCATACGACTGACAAAATGAAATTCATGCTGGGTAGTCTGAATGTTTAAGTTCAAATTTCTCTTTGTGAATTCCACCAATGCAATCCAATCAAATTGAACTGACTTAAACCCCCCCTCCATGGATTAAGACACATATACAAATGGTCTGCTTGGAACAATAATGCGTTTTTTTTTTCTACAAAAAAGCATAATTTCTGCATTTTAATCCTTAAAAAGTCATCTCCTCCTTCTACCCCATTAAAACTTCCAGAATCTCTGAATATGCAAATGTTGATTTCTAAAGTGTTCCTGCTGGACACAAGATGTCTCCTCCTTCACTGTAAAGTCCATTCTCAGTGGATGTGCACTGGTGGATTCAAGTTTCTACATCACACTGTACAAGTTGCATACAAATTAAAATCAGATTCACAATGAGCACAGAGAAACTTTCCACTTTCAGCAGATGAATGTAAAAAAAAACATCCTTCTAGCGTCAAACTCTGCACAGACATCATTGAAACAGCACACTGTAGGAACAGAACAGATATACACTGATTAGTGGCTAGAATGGGACTTTACAATCAGTTTTAAATGTATCTGGAAATAACTATTTGAATCTGAGCAGCTTTAATATATCTGTTCTGGAATATTTGGTGCTTGAGTGTTTCGTCTGAATTCAGACAGTTTTTTGGAATTGCACTTGAAATGAGCTCTTTTTAAGACAAACCACATCAATTATTATAAGTAAATCAGCACTGATTCAATTTCACAATTAGGTTTAAGTTGCTTATGAAATTCGAATTACTCCTGCCCTTTTTTTGCTTCCGTAGACATTCCTCTGAACTGATCTCGCAGTCAGACACAGGTAGCAACCTTTTACTCTATCAGAGCGATCTGGCACAGTGTGCCGTGCTGTTATCAGTGTGTATAGGGGCCTTTGAGAAAGCACCTGTTAAGCCACATGTTGAATACTAGTCGGTAAGATGTGTGTTCACACTGAGGAACCTGACCATTTTGATGTTTTGAGTGTTCTCTATTTTTTTTTTTTTTTTTACATGTCTCTTTAGTCTTTCAAATAAAACTATAGAATGGTGAAGCTTTGAATGGCTGCAGTTATCACCGGAACGGGGTACAAGGGAGAGCATCCAGCGAAAGGAGCTCTGGTCTCTCTTTGACCGCCACGCTGCCAGTATGAACGCACACTGACAGTATGAAGGCATGACAGCCACAGTCACCGTCAGTGGGCTCGTCTCAGTGCTGTTTGTGTAATCTGGTCGGGGTCTCGGACTCGTCGGGGAACCCTGAACTGTGAGAGTTTCGTAGCTGTTGTCTTGATCTGTTGCCTGTAGGAAAAGTCCTCTATTATCTGTGGCTGCTCTCTATGGCTCGTCCTTTTATAAATGTCTTTTGTAACATGGAGTGAAGGAGTGTGTGTTGGGTGGGGTGGGGTG